TGGAACTCGTGATCATATCGCAAAAGGAATATTAGGGGAATTTGAAGCTGTTAACATTCCAACATTCCAACGGCAACGCAAACTATATTCCTGATCGAACAATCAGGGAGATGTAATTGCGAAGGTTTCGCGAATTTCTCCATAGTTGCGCTAAGTTTATATATATATATATATATCGATTCTTGAATGCCAGAGCGTCTGAGGTAGCGCTGGTTCTAATTTCACCCGATGATCGAATCCTTAGTGAGTTTTCGGCATTCGAGCGCGAAACCTCGATCGGAATCTACTATCGGGAGCTGCAAATTCGTATGATACGAAAGAGGATGGAGAATAGACACCCGTCCGAGGAATTCTTACGTAACGACAAAGAGAAGACGTAGAACTTGAGTTATGTCGTGTCTTACACGGCACTGTCCACGTCGTCACTGCCTAATTAATTCTCGATCGTCGAAGATCTAAATGGAGGTTGTTAGACTCATTACGTCAGTATCTGTCACTTTTGTAAATCAATCAAAACCTTTGTTTACTCACAGGTAAACACACACACAGAGGCATAACACAATTGTCATTAACCCACCGCCTGCTGTGCCGGAGTCACAGTTTTGAGTCGAGGTGTCTATCACTGTTTGGTACAATATCAGTGAGGACCTTGGTCCCGAGCGACCGTTACACTCTGTACAGTATCGATCAACCGTCCGGACGACCCTAAATATGTATTTATTAGTGGGATATCCGTGTGAGTCAGAAATGACTCCAGCACTGGACGCTGAGATTCAGTAGTCGGAGGGTTAAAGTTTCTAAAAATTTAAATTACGCCCACACGTCTGTCGCGTGGTCGTGCAAAAGCAAACCACAAACGAAAGAGCGAAGCGAAGAGTGTCAGCGTAAAACACCTGCCATGTTCCAATTACGGAAACTATCTTCCTTCTCGAAGTTGCCGTGTCATATCCAATTAAACGGAAATCTATCTTTAGCTTGAATGGCGAACGACCATCAAGTATACCATCAAGCTCGATGTCTTCTACTTCTCTGTCCGTATGAACGTGCTGATATTTTTAAACATTGTGGCGATCCGAACGTCTGTGACGGAACGACCGCAACGCGGGAGGTCAGATACTCGACGGTAATCCCGTTAATCAGACGATAACAGAAGACAGAAGCGGCACGCCATGTGGAACCGGTACGCCATGTGACGAGCCACGTTAGCGACGTTCCATTTGCAGCAGCGTGTCGTGAAACGGGAAGAAGGTACGGAGAGAAGCGGCATCGGTATCGGTCTTGACGGTATCATTGTGTGCACAGAGAGAGAGAGAGAGAGAGAGAGAGCACACGCTTGTCTACCAGCTGAGACGGCATGGTAATCGCGTATCGATAGCCAGCCACCGCGTATATTGCCTCGATCCACCGCAACGCGGACGTGTATTGCGGCCCGCTAATAGTTAACTATGATCTTACAAGCAGTTTACATCCAACCCATCTGGCCGCGGTTGCAAAAACCTACAGGGTTCGCCTTCCAACGTAGAAAGACGTGAACGTTTCTTCCTCCGGGGGTGAGGTTACATCCATCTTTCTTTTTTCTCTCTTTTTCTTTTGTTTTTGCTTATTTATAGCACTATCCGTGGGAAAGACGTAGCTAGGTTATTCGATTCAGTTTTGAGTTTCGATATTTCAAACTTTGCTTTGGGTATGTATGTGTATAGAGCGAGATGCCAATGATGATGAGAAAATTTAAACTGATGTAACTTTGTAAAAGAAGAACGTATTCTATTTGGTCTTATTTCAAAACGTAAAGTTTCTACTTTGACAGCTGTTAATTTGTTTCTTTTTTTTTTTTTACATCATGTAGGGGATGAGAAAGTGAGGATATTTCTTTATGAACTATAGTCTCGAAGATAAAGTTTCCACTTTACAACGATTCCACAAAATTTGCACGATTTTTTTTATTTTCATCATTTTATCGAATGTTGAATGCTATAGTTAAACGACAAACTCTAATGTTTCAAGTTTAATACAATAAGAAAAAAAATCATACAGTGAGTTTTACAACACTAGAACTACTAAAGTGGTCAAAATGACCAACTGATAATTTTCGTTAGACATTTTATAGACGTAAAAACAGTGTAGTTTTAAACATTTACATAATTTTTCATAAAATATATGAATAAAAGCTTGTATACTCTATTGCATTATAAAATTTTTCTATTTCTTTATCTTCAATGTCTAGAGAATACAGTATCCTCACTTTCCTATCCGCTACATGATTTAAAATCATCTTCAAATGATTAAAAACGAACTTATGATTGTAGTATCTTCATACTTTAAAATGAGACCAAGTGGATCGTCATATGATCCTTCACAAAGTTATGTCAGTCGAAATTACCGACAATTTTTCATTATCATTGTTGCTTTCGTGCTCTTCACTATATATTTTATTATAGAATACATTCCGAGATACACTGGTTTTTAATTTAATAACGAAACAGCAAGGAAATATCGTCCACGTTTCGTCCATCGAGAGAAAGTGATTCGAATAATTCGACGCGTTATTGAATTATGATAATTACAATCGAAAATATCAGTGACGAGGTGTATAAATAATAACAATACATTCTTAGCGCAAGTACACGCCACACACACTATACTACACAGAATGACAAGAAGAACAAAGATCAAAAAGATTTTTTTTTTCCTTTTTTTGCCTTGTGTGTTTCTTTCTGCAGTCCTTGGGATTTCTTACAAATCCTTGCATTTAAAAAAAATTCTTACTGGTACTAACGTTTTCTTGACAAATGTGTATGCTAGCAAGAAAATTTTCAAAAGTCCTGCCTCTTTGGAACAAGATCTTGAAAGATCTTGAGCCTTGTATAGGAGTCTGGACTTCTTTCTTCGACACTTTCCCTAAAATGGGAGAAGTTGGGTCTTCCTAGAGATGTTAGCCTAGCCGAAGGTTAGTCCTATCTAACGTTTTCTTAGATCTAACTGCAGGACCAAGGTTAATGGTATTGCATTCCGTTACATAACGTACATCTTTGCTTTTGATGAAAAGTCGTTAATTGTATGTCCTTACAAATATGCAGTCGAGCAGTTCGTACAAGTATCTACACGACATATACAAGGCGGTCCATTTATTAAGTGAGGTACCTAAACATCTTTTCAATGATGCAAGAAATATTTTTTGCCTAACACGAATGATAATGCCGATAACTGATAAGAATATTCTCTTCAAGTCCTTTTCACGATTATTGATGTTTCTCTTTTCATATATTTTTTTTATTGTATCGTGTAACTGGTAAAAAAATACGTTCAGATATATAAAGAAAATGATCTTGAAAAAAGGTAAAAATTTACCTCTGTTGGAATCATAGACATTGGCCAAGACGTGACAATCGCGAGCCTATATATTATTACTATTTATTACATCGTCAATGATAATCTCTCCTAGTTCGAAATTTTGGTTAGTGTATCGAAATTTGTCATTCATATTCAACGCAAGAAAAGAACGATACGATACTCTTAAATACACTTAAATGGACCAGTATAGAGTTGAATGATCTATTCTTCAGATGTAAACCGTTTCAAAAAACTGATCAGAATGAAATTTGCCCGCAGGCCAATTAGCCAGAAATTTTATAGGTCGCAGTCTAATAATTCTCTTTAAAAATGTCAAGAAAGTTTCTTAATTGCGTAACACTGCAGAACGCATACGACTTTATGGTTTTAGATGCGTGAATGTAATGTTTATATTTCGAATAATGTTAGTTTTATTGTTTGATTATCTAGACTAACACTGATGCTATAATTATGATAAAATTAAATTAGCGAAACCTAATCTAGAACTACAAAGTCGCTGTTAGTACGCACGCATTCGCAATGTTAAATGATTAAGAAACTTGTTCAAGAGAATTATTAGGTTTCTTGGAAAAATTTTACTTTCGTGACGAGTAGAATACAATACAAAAAAAAAAAAAAAAAAAAGAAAGAAAAGAAAGGTCAAGATCAATTTTACGACAGGTTCTGTATGTATTTCCATCAAATCTAAGGTGTAGAATTCGTCTGTGATTGCCACGAACAAACACTGTACAATTTACATTGCGAGAAATTAAAATTTGGAAGAAAAGTTTGGAAACAGAATGTTATCATCTAAAGTTGCAATTCCTTTATCAAGTGTTTTATCATAAATCGCGAAAGCCACACTATTGGCAGCTGTGCTATTAGAAAATGCATGGCCAGGCCGGTGGAGGCGGGATAGTCACACAAACGAGGCGCGCAGAGTGGTCAGCAGCTTGTCGGTGGCGACGTAATCTCTCTGGTAATCGTCCAGTTACAGACATACAAACGATATTTTCACAAATCTCACCTGCCGGTGACGACCACAGGACTGGTTAAACTACTCGTAGACGGCCCTCGTCTAATTGCTAGAGATTGTCTTTGTTATCGAGCCCGCTTAATCGTTAGAATCCAGAAACGATTTTAGAGGCTGACCCTAATCGCGCGATAGACAATCACCTCGTCCGACACACTGGCGGTGTTTCTCTCCGGCAAAAGGGAGAACGTTATCGAGCTGTCGTGCTATTAATTGCGTTTTCTAGGATTTTGATAAGCGTGGAAGCGCGCGCGCGTGTGTGTAGCGTCTTTGAGTACGCCTGCTGCTTATCAAAGCACGGAGTGGAACGAGAGAGATAACAGAGTACGGAGAATTTCGGAAAAATTCTGCACGATAAATTTACCATGTTTTGTCATCGCGTCGTTTAAAATGGAAGGGAATGCCGCGAATTTGTCTTTCACGTTTCGTGTGTCATGTAATCGCGATCGATCATTAATCGACATCGACGGACACGTTCCACGTTCTATTTTCGGTCATTCTCGGTATTTTCAATCACCCTTCTCCCGATTTATAACATTTCGACTTGTCGTTTGCTCACGAAAATTTGAAAATCGAACATAAAACGACGTAGAGACACAAGCAGCTAAGACGATCCACGTCTCTCTCTCTGTTGCAGGATTAAGTGAAGGACGCAAGCGCCCGCCGCTGAGAGATCCTGGGATTTACTACCGTGATCTTCGGGAGGAGAGTGGCGAAACTAGGATGAGGAGGAAGAAGAAGAAGGATGCGAGAGAAAGCAGAGAGCTTCTTGGAGAGCACGAGAAAAAGCAGGAGAATAACTTTCGGAAGAAAGAAAGAAAGAAAGAAAGATAGAAAGAGAAAGAGAGGAGGAAAGGTGGCACAGCGGTTCGTCCTTGAGATACATAAATCGTCCCGGTGGCGTGCAAGGTGCGACTGCGGAAGACGAATGACATTGGCTGCAGCGCATGCGCGCGCCAATTGGGTTGGCTCGGAAGAGATTTAGGAATTACAGAGGAATTACGTCAAAGTATACGTCTGCTTACGCGTTCGGGTTCGCGAGGGAAAAAAGAAGAAGACGCCATCGCGAGGAGGAAAACGTGAGCCGCGGATGATACGTCTGTGACGTTCGCAGGAAATTTCACGGACTCGGACGTTCTTAAACCGAAAATCAAGGTGTTTGTCATTCGTCGAGAGCAGCAGCGGAAAAAGAAATTCAATGCCCGAAACATCGTGCAAGTTGGCTCGTTCACGCGCCCGGGGGGGATTCCTTAGTCAGCCAATTCTTCACCGTCGGTCGTTTCGCGCGTTTCACAATGGTTTTCAATTCTGTAAATAAAGGGAATCGTCGTGCACTCATTCGTTTGAGAAAGAAACAAACGCGGTAACGCGCGTCGAAAATCGTTCGTTTTGTACATAAATCGCGGATGGGGAGGAGGGAACGAGTTGACCATCGATCCAAGGATGTTTCTCGTTCCTCGTTTACCCGTTCGTCTGTTCATCAGCGGATCTCGTCGACTGAAGAAGTCGGGGACCCGCGAACCACACGGGCAACGTGCAAAGTAGCAGCCATTTCGGATAAACCCAAACGACTGACTCGTTTTGGGGAAGTCCAGGTCGTAAATTGATCGTAAACCGATCTATTCTTCGCGATTGAATTCGTCGAAATTTATCAAATGGGAGATCGTTGGAATCGCAGAGAGACCAACGAAGCAACCTTTTGTATAAGGTTGGTCCCTCGTACCTCCGACATGTACGCGCGTAATGGGTGCCGTTTAGTTGTTTGTTGAAGACGAGGCAACAAGGCGGAAGGTGAAGAGGAAGACGGATCGTACACAGCGGCTACTTTATCCTTAATCTACCAGTAACTGTTTAATTAAACTCCCGATGGAATATTCTCTCGTATACACGCGAACACGTTGTTCGCATTGATAAATAAAAAGGTGGCCAGCAGAAGCGTAGATCTGGCATTAACGAGAGCTGGACCTATGGAAAATTCGTCGAGGCGTGCTCTCGAATATCCAGCGCATATCGCGTCCGCGAGTGTAGTTTTTCGATTGGCAGACACGCTGTCCACGAAGGGCCGGAAATTACGGTGCAGAGAAAAGAAGAATGGTAACAGTATCGGCAAATTAATTAAGAGTGAAAATTCGTCCTTTTCCCGGTGCACTCGCGATCCACGGACTTCCGGTTTCCTGCGGCCGCGGCGCGCGCACCACGAGAATTCCACACTCCGCGATAACACGCGTGTCTACCTTTAATTAGCATCGTACATTGTCTTCGTTACATTCAACCCTCTCTCTGTGCAATATATCGTTTTAGAAATCGTTCGAGAGTCTCTCGTGATCGCGCTCTCGCAGGCCGGGCCAAAGTGGAAGTTTCTCGCTCGATGCTAAATTCTATGCACGCGTGTGTGTGTGTGTGCGTGCGTGCGTGCGTGTGTGCATTTGCTCGTGTTTATGCGTGTGGCAAGCAAGATCGATCCGTGATCTCTTTGTTCGGTCCTTTAATTTGCTTAAAATCCTCGTGATCTCGCGCGAACGAAATATCGCGGCGATCGTTAGATGAGGATTTCCGTCATATCATTTCCATTCGATTCGCCATCCATAGATCCGGGACGGAGGAGGAGAAGCGCGATCGATCGATGATAAACGCGAGGTGCGCTCGAGATTGTTGATATTTTTTTATATTACATGTACGTGGCGCAAATCGTCCCTCCTTTCGAAGAGTACGTATTCACAGCGGCAGAATGGGAGCACTACTTGCCCACTCGTCTCTCGAGCCTCGTGTCATGGTAAAGAACGAGCAAAATGGAGTGATTGGTGAATGAACGTAGAGAAAGAGAGAGAGAGAGAGAGAGAGAGAGAGAAGAGTGATAACGAACGAAGCAAAAACAAAAAGAAAATTAATTATAGAAATCGACTATCATTTTGTACTCTGGCATGTGTAAGCTTGCGCGTGCGTGTGTGTGTATGTTATCGTCGACGCTTTGTGTCGTTGCGTTGGAAGAGAAAAGCTGAACGTACAGAGAGCAAGAGAGTAAGAGAGAGTGAGAAACTGAGAAGAGCAGAACGATGGGAGTAATTGTACATTGTTTTGTAAAGAGTACATTTATTTATATCTGTGATAATGTGGCGAGGTTAGAGAGAGTTGGCGAGAAAAGGAAGTTGCAAAACGGGAGAGAGAAACGGTCGGACAAGAGTGAAAGAGAAAGGAAGAGTGAAATATATTAGGTGTACGATTTAAAGAAAAAAAAAAGAAAAAAAAAATGAAAAAAAAGAGAATAAAATGAATTAAGGAGGAACAGTACGGTGCTGGTGGTCTTCGACCGAAGATGGTCGGTGCTGGTGCATTCATTGATACGTATATCGTAATAGGGTAATTAATAGAGACTCGATCGTGGTTTTGTAAATAATCATCGCAACGTGTAGCCGGGTGATAACATCGAGGGTCGAGTGTAATTGTCCTGAGTAGAAGGAGAAAAAATAAAATAAAAAGTAAAAGAGGAATCGTAAGATAGGGACAGAAAACGAAGAGAAAAAATTTTACGCGTTTCTTGTACATGATCACAGAATATCCTCGACACAAAGAAACAAAGAGAGAACTATCTGTTGTGAATATATATAATACAGGTATTAGGTATATAGATATATATAAATATATATATATATATATATATATATATATATATATATATATATATATATATTACGATTAATAGGTTCTACTTGGTTGTTCGTACGAATTCAATTGTAAATTAATTAAACTGTACATAGTTCTAAATGTGAATATAGACAGAATATATCTATTATTATTATTATTATTATTATTATTATTATTATAATTTTATTATTATTATTGGCAACATCACATTATTATTATTATTATTCTATTATTATTATTGTCTATTACCATTATGAATTCATTATATTAAAAAGGAGACTATTATGTTGTACATTTACACCTTTTATTTTCGTTTTCTTTTCGTTTTTTTTTAACCTTAATCGTCCCAGGTCACCTCCTCTTCCTCTGTCAAGTGAAAAAAAAAAAATTAAAATATTATTTGTATAACGCGAGCTAATGGCGCATTCAAGATGAACGAGGTATTATATTTTTACACGATTTAATAAGAAAATTCACGATTCGTTTTACTCTCACGACAGACACAACTGGAATTTCCAAGTGAACGCGTATCCTTTCATAAAACAGTCGGCGCCGCTTTATTTCCACTTAATTTTAAACAGTCATTTTGTAATCCGCGATATGTATCACCTTAACGTCCAATTTGAAGACAAGGATTCACACAGATTGGAACGATTAAAACGTGACACGCGTGTGAAGTGAATATCAGAATTCTAATTTCCATACATATAGCGGCCCGATAATTCACCAATTTTCAAATTTGCCCAATAAAACGAGGAACACGGAGCTGACATAATTGAAGAATAGATGAGGATCGGTGTATAGAGGTTGACAGTTAACCGACCGGCAATTATTCACGTGAAAAATTCATTATAAACTAATTTCTCTCGGTTTTATCGCGCGTCGAGCAGGAACAGACGACTGAGTGGTTTACACGGCTTTTCGCGATCGTGATTTTTACGATCGTTTCGCGATCGCCCACAGCGCGTTATTTACAGATCGGATTTATACTCGGAAACTTCCCACGAAGATCCGAGGCGTTCGCCGGTTCGTGACGCATAAATCAGCCGACCGCTTGTCGCGCGTCGTTCGGAGAAAGCTCCGCTTCCAGCGCCACTCTTTCCACCCCGCGCAAAAAAACACGCAATTGTCTACTTTGTTGCCTAGATTTATCACGCCGCGCCGTATACGAAATCGCTGGGACTCGGCGTGTCCAGCGTCGCCTTCTTCTTTCAACGATGGGATTACCTCAGGTAAGGAACTCGCGAACTCGTCGAGCCTGTCGATCGACGATGTTGCCGTGTGTCGTGCAAATTTGTACGAGACACGTGTACCCGAACGTGTAGTCGAGCGAACTAAAACTAAAACCTGAGGAGGAGGGCAAATCGTTTCATCTTCTCGAGTTGGACAATCGAACGTAATAATACGTTCGTAAATCGAGTAGATCCCAAGTATTTCTACTCCCACACGTGACCACACGTACGAATTATTTCACGCCAAGTGAAATCTCCTACTCAACGAACGAAAGGCTCTTTCCAGAATAGAAGTACCTTCTATTTGACTGAAGAACGAGGCGCACTAAATAGTCGCGTACTAAAATCCTAAGAATCGTAAACTGATGGACGAGAAAGAGGGTGTGACAATCCGCTAAGACAAAGGACCCGCTTTGGTAGATTTGCTCGGTCGCGTGGTCGCATGTGGCGCCGTCTACGCGGAGGACGCGGAGGGCAGACAGTGCGCGCGCCAAGGCAGATGCGGCGTGGTTTACAAGAGGAGGCTGCGACGCGACGGCCCTTATATCATCCGCGAAGAAATATGAGATCTCTCGCAGCCGACTGTTGAACGTGTCGCGAGGCTCCGCGGGTGCGCGGAAACCTTTCGTAGCGTGCGCGCCACCGCCGCCGCGGTTAACCGTCCCTGACGCGACCGGATACGCCTCGCCTCGCCTCGTTTCGTTTCCTTTCCTTCCGATGAATATGCACGCGCCCTCCACCGAGGGAAACCCACCGACGTATTGCGATGATTTAACGCGTGCGCCGCGCGTGCCTACCAAACGTGGTCATGGGAACCACGCGATAGTCTCAGCAACCTGCTGCCTCGCAGACCTGCTGAATATATCGAAGATGTCACGCTTTAAATGTAGGTAATGCTTTCCACAGTGAAATTTCACTAGGATTAATAAGAACTGAGTGTATCAAGAATATATAGCATAAACATATGTGTCGATCGTGCACCTTGATATGTCTGTTGTTCTTGAAGGACCACTCGCTGGTATGGGAAATGAAATGAATTTTTAACCTGAATCATTGACCTTAATTTTTAGAATCAGCCTACTGGCATCTACAACGGCCTACTGCCACTCCCGAAGACTTGATTGTAACCAACACTTACATTCGCTATGACATGCTCTTTCACTAACTTTGTTCTCGATGTCTCAATTGTGACTAACATTTATTTACATTTACTATGAGAGTATTTTTTGACTAACTGCCGTTCTCGACTAACTGATTAGCGTCGTCACTAACTATGACTAGTTCTTTGAACCCCTTCGCTGCCCCATTCGAGAACGAAACATATTTCATACGCGTTGACTAGATAGTCGATAGCCAATCACGTTTAAAATATGGGCCGGTTTAAAGTATTTTATTGCCGTGATATGATCGGGAGATCGATGCTGAATCGTTCATTGAACCATAAAATAAAATAAACGGAAACACTCCCGGCACAATAGCCTTGGGGGAGCTTATAACGGTGGACGTTAGGACTTTTCGCCAACGCAAAAAAGAGAATAAATCGTTGTCCGCGATAAATACAAGATGATATAATTTCTTTATATCGACAAAAGAAATCGTGACCTGTCTTTCGCCTATCAGCAAATTCCAGTCGAGTATCGTTCACAGTATATCTCATTCAGAAGTCGGAGCGTTGGTCTTCAATTCAACTCATACACCACAGATGAACTGCAACGTGTAAAACAGTAAAAAGAAAGCCGACAAATCGCGAGACCAGAGAAAGCCCAAGACTAATCTAAAGTCACGGCGAAAGAAACCTGTCCACCCCCTTTGGCGAGGGCGGCCAGTCGTCCGGCGAATATGGCTACAATAGTAATATTAATAATAGGGATAACAGCGCGCAACGAGCGGCATATCGATAACCCCGTGCAGAGCGGCCGGGCATTACCATAAATTTGAATGTTCGCGCGTTCCTCCTCTCCTTTTCTTGTCGTGGCGTTCGGACCGTAGCGTCGGACACGGCCGGTGTTCTTTCTTCGCGCAGGCTGGCCTTCGTCCGTGGTCGAATCGTCTGCCCGCGACTGCAACCCCTTTTACGGCTTACTTTATGGCAAAGACTCAATTTGGCCCCGGCAGTTGGTGTCCGTTCCCGGTGACTAATATACCGGGATGCACCGCGTGGGGTGCAGCCGTGATGCATCGTTCGCGATGCTCCACGTTCCTGCCACGTCCCCTCTTCCCGCCCATCCATCCGTTCCTCGCTCGCTCGTCCCCTCTCCTGTGGGGAATCGTTAAATTTTTGACTTTCCTTCTTCCGGGTGTAAATTGTCGATAGATCGGGTATGAATAATTGCCGAGGATGTTGAATGAATTACGCGGTAGGAAGGTTCGACGTTGTCCACGAAAACGGTGGTAAAACGGCGAACAAAGACACGGGTGGTCTTAATCGATCTTCTATCTGATCGCGTTGCGTTCGAGCGAGGTGTCGCTTATGAAATTAGCTCGATACGCTTGTTAGAGCGGCGTTCCTATGTCGATCGTGGCGCAGATAGTGTATGGTTATGTTCGATTTGCGCGCCTCGTTCGGAGAGATTTAACGAGCCAGTAATGACATCGGAATGGCGCGAGAATTGTCCTATCTGCATCTGGAATGTCGAACAAAATTGAAGATATATATATATACACGCGCACGCTACGAACTGCTAATAAAGATTTCCAACAATGGTCACTACGCGTGACCATAAACGGAACGACCGCTGCGCTCGTGTGCTTGGTCGTTCGATTATCTAAGAGCCATTCGTCTTTGGACCATCCTCGAAGAGCCGGTGGAAGTACAATTCGCTCGAAATTTTCCGTCGTAAATTCCAAGCAGTCCCGCGGCGGCGTTTTATTTCCGAGCCGCGGCAAAAGAGCCCAGGAGACGAGCGAGCAGGCGGCTCTCTCTCGCGAGGACCACGAAAAGAAGCACGTTCGGCCTCGTCCTCCTCGCCGTGGGACACCGCGCCGCGCTAACTTACGCCGGATTACCGACACTATTTCATCGCGCCACGGACACCCCTCGGGCTCGACCACCATTTTCTTCCTCTCTGCCCTCCACTGTGCTCCTTTTCTTTTTCTTCTTCTTCTTCTTCTCTCGCCTCTTGTACTTCATCCTGCAAAGAGCCCTTCCTCTCGAGTGGCCATCCTCTTCTCCGCAGAAAATGGGTTTCTTGTTTCGCCGTGAACGTTGTACATACACATATTGTGATTTCCATGCTGTGACAATAACCGTTCCAATAGTGATGGAAACGTTTTCAAGTATTCTCGGCTGTTAATTCTCGAGGATTCCACGAAGCAGAGTGTGAATTGGAGCTGTTATTCATTAAGGTATCCGGGTTACTCTCACGAGACAACATATGTGTATTGTATTGTTTCTACTCGTGTCACTCGGATGTCTACAAAGTCATTTAAACGATGAAACTAATAATGAAGTATTTAGTTTAAATCAGACGTCTTTATCTTTGTATAGAAATATTTCAGTTGGCAGGAACTCATTCGCGTTGAACTGACAATATTTTCAGTTCTGGAAAATACTCTTTCACAGCTGGCAGATGTATACACAAATATTTCTTAGCAAGTTTTATCAATCTTGGGTATTTCTTTTCTAGTG